AGCGCCTCTTCCCCACCACGTGATCCCCATTCTCCACTCGGAATATCTTGTCACGTGCAAACAGGGCGCAGCCCCGGGGCTTCCCAATCCCACGCCCCACATGGTTGTTCCTATAGAGGTGAGATTTCTGCTCTTAGACTAGTGAGTCTCACACTTTACCATCCATCAGAGTTCCCCAGAGAACTTGTTCAAATTCAGATGGCGGTCCCACCCAAAGGGGTTCTGATGCAGCAGGTCTGCCATGGAGCCTGAGAATCTGTATTTCTAACAATGCCAGGTGATGCTGCTGGTCTAGGGTCCACACTGTGAGAACCCTGTCTTAGATAATCCCCACGTGGCCCAGGGCTGAAGACCAACAGCAGCCCATGCTTATCACCGACACCTGAAGTGGGCATCGATTCTTCCCTGAGCAGGCAGGTCAAGCCCCTCCAGCCCTGTTTGCACACTGGAGCTCAGGACTCATCCTCACCTGGCCCAGGCCTGCACCTGCTGGTTAGTCACTCAACAGCTGTGCACAGGCACGAGCCGCTGTGCCTGGCATGGGGACAGAACCAGGCAGGGCGAATCAAAGACAGCAGGCTGCCAGGTCAGAGCCCTGGCTGGGGCGGTGGGCCGGCGGGCGGAGGGGGCTCCCCAGCCTGTGGGGCGGGACAGGTGTAAGCAACAGCATGAGTCAAGAGCACGAGGCGGGACCGCGGGGGTGGGGGAGGGGAACAAGTAGCCAACCAGCTGTGTGGGGTGCGCGGGCTCAGGGCGAGGTAGAGTGAGAGGTCTGCCCATTCCAGGTCTCCAGCTTGTCACGGGCAGCCAGCACTACATGGCCTGGGACAAAACCTCCTCCCACACTCAGGGCTTACAATGCTCCAGAGAACGTGGTCATAAAGCTGAAAGAGCCTGGACTGCAAGAGACAGAAGCCTGCGTGCTCCAGCTCTGTCACTTCTAGTGTGTGACCTTGGGAGACGCATTTAACTTCCCTGGGCTTCAAGATGAAATTGTCAGTGTTTGAGGTGGCCACCGGTGCTGCTCACAAATCCTCTCCACTTCTACTCTGTTTCTGAGTACATGGAGGACCACACTTCACCACCCTCTCTGAAGCTGGGCACGGTCCGTAAGATGCTAGCTCCCTGTGACACATCTGGATTCACAGATGATATATGCCATTAAAGTCCCTGGGTGGTACAAATGGTTTGTGCTCAACTGCTCACCTAAACATTGGTGGTTCAAACCCACCCAGAGGCACCACAGAAGAAAGCCTGGTGATCTGCTTTCATTAAGATTACAGCGGTTCGACTCTGACACACACATGGAGTCACCATGAGTCTGAATCGACTCGACGACTGTGGGTTTTGTATATGCCATTTCCTTCCCACCGCTGTGATGTGTCTGCCTGGGTCCATGAGTAACGAGAACGAGCCCGTCTGCCAGCCTGCACTGGATGTGCAGCCTGAGTGAGAAACAAACTTCCGTTGTGTTAAGCAACTGAGATTTGGGAGTTCTTTGTTACTGCAGGGAGACTGAGTCCATCCTGACCGATACAGCATTGGGAAGATGTGATGCAGAAAGCAAAAAGTGTGGTGTCCAGCATGACGGAGCCCTTCAGGCTCCTGGCCCCTCTCCCAGGACCTGGCTTTGCTGGACTAAGTCATCTGGTCTATAGACATGCCCCCTTGAGAGTCCTGCCATGTAGAGGGAGGAGGCCAATGGCGGGAGGCCCCACACTGCCGCTAGATTCCTATGAGACAGCACGTGGCTCAGGTTGGTGGGAGGGAGAGAAGGGGCTACGGTCACAGTGATTCCCAACAGGGTCCACGGGCCCTGCCAGATTATGTGGCAGCAACTGTGAGGGACTTTTACAGACTGACCATCCCACAGACATCCACAGGGTCTCTTGTGTGCACCTCTCCTCCCTTTGAAGGCTTTTCTGTGATGTCTATTCAGAGCGGCCAGCAAAGGAACCCTGCCTTCATGCCTCAGTCGCCCTGTGATCTTGGCTAAGCCACAGCCCTTTCTGAGTTCCTTATTTCTGGGCTTCAAACTCTGATGTCCCAGCAATTCACCTGAATGAAAGTCCCGGACAGAGGCAGAGGGCTTACAAGGTGATTTCACCTGCTCTGAACTCTCACAGGGAGGCTCTGGGCCTCAGCACACTTGCTGGGACCCCAAGGGAAGTATTCTGGCCACCGGTAATCTGGTCCCTGTCCCTGGCGGTGAATGACTAGGATGACCACATAAGTTAGTCTCCAAACTGGAACAGTTCTGAGAGTGAAGGGGGCAGTATAAATAATTACCTGCAAACAACAGGTATGAACCAGGACCGTCTTCAACAAACCAGGATAAACAGTGAGTCGACGGCTGAAGAACAGAAATGGACCTACCTCTCTGTGTCTCAGCTGGAAGCTTCTCCCCTCATGGTAGCAGTTGTAGGTTTTTAGCAGGCTTAAGAGCTCCGACCTAAAAAGACAGACACCAGACACTCCTGGGGGGTGGCCAGGGCCATGGCCTCACTTTCCTCATTTCAAAATGGGTATAATATACCCATCTTGCCAGCCGTGCATAATCAGAATACGCCATCATGACCTGTGCCCTGTAGCCTTCCAGAGGGTTTCGCAAACAGGCCCCCGTAGAAGACACG